GAAGGACGTAATAAACGCGGCTAAATAGTGGATGCAGGTATTATCATCTCGAGATAGTAGCATTTGCTATCAGTGCTTAGCCTAGGAATAAATGCTTGATGTATGAATCCCTTGATACCCATTACCTCATGGGCTATATAACGAATTACTTTTCCGACGGATCAGTGATCTAATTCGTATGTGCCACCTTTCAGGATTATTCTTAAAATAGAGTAGGCGAATCTAAGGAATATTCCATCGCTTGATCCACCACTAGAAAGTTGGAAGAGACCCCTATACACTTGCCCATCTGGAAACCTCGTGGTCCTTGCCACGTGGGCGACGTGGTATGTTGATTTTGGTACTGTCCTTGCGAGATGCGATTCGATATTTGCCTCGTTGGTATGTACATGTTTCATGGTAGGTACTCAGGTCCCTTCTAGAGAGGGTGTCAGTGTGGAACCTCTCTTCTTTAAGAAGTTACGGAGGCATAATCCATAAAAGGCCAGGCGTATGTACATTCGGATTTGACCCTGCTTCGATGTTGCCTTATGACGCTTCTCATATTAAAACAGGACTATAGTGTTGGCTTTGGAGTGAGAGGAAGCCTCCAGAGTAAGACCGGATAGAAAAGCAAGCCCCTGGGTCATTGAATCATTCCTGAGTACATTGGCAAGTCGGTTACGAACTGAATATCGTCTATCCGATGGTTTCATCACAGCTATTAGCCTTATACGCTGGCGGGTGCCGAGGTTTCGTGTTGAAGATATCGTATACGCCGGTGTAATGTCGTCCATAAACGAGTCGCTGATGTGAGATTGCCTCAGTAGATTAACTAGCACACATTTTCCCCCACTATAAGACAAAAGCCATTACAGCCTCGCCACGTCGCACCGCGTAATATATTGGGGTACGGTACCGCCGCCTTGGACTATATGTGCTTTAGGTGGTAGGTTGTCTTGCATGTCATATTTTAGTCACGCTTAGCATATCCGTAGAGGTTCGAAGCCATATTACCGGTGCGCCGTGTCGACCTATTTGAAAACTATTTCTTATAAGAGCCATATCGGGCTTTAGTGTCGTTGGTGAGATCGGGGATTCCGTCGTGGAATTTGATGGCGATAGAGCCTCCTACGAATTACCGCTTTTGATTATTTGTAGCGTACCAGTTCGACCCCAAGGGTTGAATAAATATGTCTCCGCTAATACTTTATTTTTATTTTAATAAATTGATACTGTGGATTCGACTTGAATCAGAAAGTTTCCATGGCCTCTCTCTATCACTTCGGCGACGCTACACTGATGTGTGACATTGTTGTATCAGCCACATGCAGTTCATGTCTACCGCAAAGCTACCCGTCGGATACTGAACGACTTTTAACTGCCGCTATAGTGGTGGGCTAGTGGTCAGACAATAGCAAGAAACAGATACTTGTACCACATTGGTCCTGGCGCTTAGACGACGTAGGACTTTTGGAGGTTCATAGCATTGGTCAGTTGTGCAACAATGTTTCGGTAACAATGGAGCGGACAAGTCGGGACGTCCCCGTATATCTACCCGCTTTACTTGGTGAAGAACTCTTGTCACTTGCTAGACTGTCGCGAACCACTTTGAAGGAGGCTGAGAGAGAGTTCTATTGGTTATTTGTCGTAGGTGTGTATAGCACTTTGCCTTGCTAACTTTTGCCTTGCGGGCTGAGAATTACAATTGGACCAAGTTCGGCCGTAGGATTACATGGCGTCATCCCGGGGATGGCACATAGTAGTTTTTTTTTGTATAAATGCTCCATCATCGGCATCCGGTGATTGGATCATCGTTATATGCAATGCCGTCGAAGCGGGATTCAATGGCTATTTGATAAACTACCCGTATGGGCTAAGTAGGAAGTGCGTACATGATAGACTTCACTACCACATACCTAATTCGCAGATATTTAGCGAGGTGTTGCATAGAAGTGATATAGTGTGATATGATCAAACACTAATAACGAATTGAGAGAAAGTAAGAGAAAATTAAGAATTTCACAGAATTTTACACCTAAGCTGCGCTAGAGTTGAATAATACACCTTTAGTATTAGGTAAGACGACTGCCTTTTATTTTATTTTATTTCATTTTTTATCTTAGGTAAGTGCATTTTGACTTTGAAAGCTTGCCATAGCACAATGATGTACCTTAGTAATTCTATAAGCGATGTACGTACCTGATTGTACGTACATTTGAAACAGAGATACCTCATGTACAGGTATATCACACGCATTGCATTAGGTACATGTATACATGTATGTACTACACTCCATGCGTATCCGTAAATATTATTTTTGATAGAACTTAATATTTATCATTAAACCTGTTCCTAACAAACCTACTTACGTGTAACCCATCATCTACTCAATCGCTTGGAAACCAAGTAATAAATGGTCATCGCCTCAATAGTCGTCATCGTCAATATAAAATCATAATAACGGGGAAAAGGAGTATTGATTTATGGAGGCATGGCCTCAGCTCCCTTACCATACGAAATTGCAGTGATTGTGGAGAGGCCATATGGTCGAATGTTGACCTCCTGATATCGCTTTGACTCTTTATTCTTTTTTTTCTTATTATGGATCAGACTAAACTGAGACTTCATGTTTACCATCATTAATCATAACGCCGCGGCGACTTAGCGATCCACGTGTAGAATACTCCTAGCGCTAGCTCAGGTCAAGTTGACAACTACATAGTAGACGACTCCATAATCGCTTCGAGATCTATCGATTCTAGCGCCTCTAGAGTATGCGCTGGAACTTTTCTACGAGCGGCTGAAAAGGCATTTATCACATTAGAGGCTTGCAGCGGGAATGTTGCCGAACGTTTAACTGGTCCAACTAGTGTTGGTCGTCGGCTTTCTCATCTCCTTCTGGGTCGTAGCTTGAAGGCGGCTCATAGACGGCTGTTTTTAGTGTGGGATGAGGTCTGAAATAATACTAAAATAATACTAATATGCCATATTCTATCCACTTACAATTATTAATTCTGTAAGTGGCATCACTCATAGACCTCTGAGGCGATATAAGTATGAGAAATGAAAACAGCCCCATCCGTCTTATTTGCGCTGTGATCGACGATGAGTATGTGCATACGATTATTGGTTATACTAATATGTAATAGAAGCTATCAAGCAGAATTCCAAGTTCAAAACCCATACATATGGACACTCAACTCTCACTACCTACGCAATGGTGCCTGGCTTTTCGTACCCATGGACGTGGACTGCAATATGGTTGGAGACAAGGATCTTTCCCCCCTGTTGACAAGGATTAAGAAAATTCCTATTCCATGTCACAGTGGTACGCACAGACTACACAAGACCCCTCGATAATGGTTCGCCGCCCACTTGGACTTTCACTCGGGCCTTCGCAACCATATTCCAGTGCTTCTCTTACATACATGCTGGTCCACATAGCGGGTTTGACACCACTGGTTCGACACGCAGAGAGTGAGATGAGAAGTGATCACTGCATCTAACGTTTTTGCTTTATTCTCCTAGGACGCGATGAGGAGAGGACAAGACCCGATAGCCGGAATGTGGCTTGATACCACCCGGTTCCAACAGTTTTAACGCTAAAGATATGGGATTTCGGATTTCATTTTTTATAGGCACAGATGGATCATGTCATTACTGTCCAGTGCCCACTCGCTCCTTCAATATTTAAATACAAAGTACACATATATATGTAGGTATGGACCTTACATGTGGTACCTAGATTAGGTTTGTAGGTTGATGTACATGTCAACTACGTGCGGAGTACACCATCCAAGTCCACTTTCCCCGTCTCGATATGTAGAACCTTCCTAGGTACCCAACGTCTAGTGTAAGCGCAAGGTACCCCTTCCCTGACGGGGATCTTGAGAGCGCGGTACGTAGCGTAATACGTATTATCGTACCGTAGTATTGTAATAATAAACGAGATAATACCTAAATGATCATAATCATACCTACCTGCCTACCTAACTACCTAACTACCTGCTTCCATCTTACTTCACTTACATACATATGTACCATATGTGCTTTGGTCCCTTGTGGCCCCCATCTCTTTTCCCTTTTTCCACTGCTGCCAATTCTCCTTATTTTTCTTAACTGGTGAACACTTCTCCCGTTATGGCCTCGTCGTTCTTTTTCGCCTTCAGAGTTATCAGTACTCAATATTGAACGCGAGTCATCGCCCATTACCTTTAGCCTGGCGGCTGCCAGAAATTACATTTACTTAGGTAGCAGACTACCGATTCTACGTTGCGAATCAAGGGTCTACCTTGTTTCAAACTTGGCCTGGGGTTAGAGGGGGAGGAAAAGCAATTTGAAGGGAACAATAGCAGAAGGATTCCCCTTTTCTTCTAACAAAAGTCCCCTAAAAAAATAATATCTTGCATCTATTAGCAACATCTCTTTCGTCAGTTTACAGGGAGGGCTAGCAGCGTATTGATTGGATTGATTGGTGTTTCCGGCTATCGAAAATTGGACCATTAATTCATATCTTATTGGTATCTCATATCCCGGCAAGATTTGGAGAGCACATATCTTTCGTCCACTAGGGAGATCTTAGAACATCCTCGACCATTTCCCCTACTCTATAGGACTTATTATCCAAGCAACTAATTTTCGACCATCACCTTACGGACTACGACCCACGATCTACGAACCGTTACAGATAGAATTCGATTAACAATTTCAGATCGATTAAAGGCTATACTCAACTTAGCAAGTTAACCTTATTCAGTTCCGGAAGCTCACTTTTTCACACACATGTGCCGTCGCCATCGCCCAACCGCCTTTTATTTTTCTCGTCGCGGGCATAAGCTTACCCCCAACTTGAAACAGTCCTTCACCAGAAGATCGTCACAGCCACCGAGACATTGGTCGGTCGAACTAAATAGTGTCAGCACTTGGACGCAGCCACTCCGAATCGAAGCCTGCTTTTAGTCATTAATTATCCTGTCTATAACCTACCCACCTAGGGTCCAAGCAATCCTACGTCGCTCATGTTTAATCGATCATCGTCAAAAACACACGGATTTTCTAGTGGCACCAGCTCTAAGGATCATAGGTTCCGCGAGAGTCAGAAATCGAATTTGTTCGAGTTAGGTCTCTTAAGGCCTGGAGCCGAGTCGCGTTCTCTGCGTTCTCTTCGGAGAAAGGAAAAGGAAAAGGAAGGAGACTGGGATAGTTCGCAGAGCGTTCCGTCCTATCCTGAGAAGAGTAAGTTCTGCTTCTGACTGGAGCTGCGCTTGGAATTTCCCCCGCCTTGTGGCCCGTCGAACAGAGACTGTGTCTCGCCATTGCGCAATCGCGGCTGATTGTGTGCGAATAATTATTAGATCATTCTATTACAGCGGCTTCGCTTCGTCCGTCGCCGCAACCACAGCGAGCGCCATCGCATCGCTCCGCAGCTTCCATAAGTTCTTCAACATCTAGAGATACTATACGTCAAAACACCATGTCGGGCGCATTAAGTTCAGAAAGGAGTCGTACGCGGAGGGAGAGGACTTTTGTCGGGAGTGAATGTGCCGTTTGCGAAGAGCCATTGGAGCACACGCTTCGCGGCGAGAGGATTCTACAATTCTCATGTTCACATGTTTCCCACGAGGCTTGCTTCTACGAGTTCATACGTGAATTCGAGTCGCAGTATTGCCCCTCATGCAATGCGCCTTTACATTTAGACACGAGTCGCGGAGGCAATGTTCTTGACATCGGTTAGTTGCTAATATGGCGGTTTAAGTTGGGGGTTTATACTAACTTTTGCATAGAAAAAATAACTAGCATGGTACGATCCGTGTCAGCCGATAACAGGTCGTTGACAGCACCAGCCCAGAGGGAACCCCAGAGGGAACCCCAAAGAGACCCCTGGGAAACTCAAGGTAGCCGTCCGCCTAGTGGCGAGTCTAATGTTAGAAGTGTAGCCCCTAGCAACAGTGGCCAAAGTATCACTCGGGGTAGTGTCCGAGATAGTCGGGAGCCGCCACCGTCAGAACGTTATATGAACAACCATAAGCATGATCGTAGTAACAGCGAAGTGACTGGTATCACCGCGTCGACTGGTTATCCCGAGACGGCGCAAAGCGGTCCGCCGCGCCGTCACGATTACGACCTTCAAGCTATGGAGACGACACCAGGTAGCCCAAGAGCTATGTCGCGCAATCCAATCCCATCGCCTTCTGTTGTTGTTCGATCCGAATTTCCCACCATAACGCGTTCAAGGCAGCAACAGACCTTGACGTGTCTGATTACGGTAGAAGTTGCCGATAACAAGTGGAAGCCTGATCCGGAAGACCTTGGTATCGTAAACCCAGCGCCAACACAGCGCACGGAGGATACTTTTACGCAAAGACCACCGTCACCTGCGAGGAGTTCGCAGCCGCGTTTCTATCCATATGAAGCACCCGAAGTGCTCGAAGAAATGACCGAGAACTTACGGAACCGGGTCGACAATTGGCACGGCCTCGACTTTAATAGGTATGTGATTACGATCCCGTGTTTTTCCGTCATAAATTACTAATTTGATGTAGGTTTGGAAAGCTTCGACTCTATGGCACTTTACGTGTTGGCAAGGACAAAGTTTCGTGGCAGGAGTTGGAATGTTACCTCTTTGCCGAGATGCTCATTTGCGTCAAAGAAAAGAAAAACCTTCCCCCTGCGCAACAACAACAATGGGACGAAAATGGCATGCCTCGGAAAGCAACGCGATGTACCCTGAAGGGTTCTATCCTTATCAAGAAGCATCTTAATGAAGTCACTGAAACCGGTATGAGTGAGTGGCCTATCTGCAAAACTACAAGACCCAGCTAATTAATTCTTTTAACTTACAGTTGATGAGAACGTACTAACTCTCAGCCTTTCTGTTGCGGAACTCCCGCAGTTCCATCTGCGCTTTGAGAACCGGAACCAGCTGAAGCTATGGCAGCAGGCTCTTCTCGATCTCAATGCTGTTGAGCGATCACCAGTCAGAAGCCCAGCATATGAACGTGCTGAGGCATCAGAAAACGAAGAAGATGAATGGGGCAGAGGAGGTCGGCCCCAACGGGTCTCGTCGGTGGCTTCTTCTTATGGCGGACCCAAGTCCATCACTACGGCTGCTACCGAATACACTAGCGTCGCGAGGAGCCCTCTAGTTTCATCATTCCACGTACCTATTGATGTTGTTGTCGTGGTGCCTATCTCCTCTTCGATGCAGGGTGTAAAGATAAACTTAGTCAGGGATGCCCTGAAGTTCATGGTCAATAACCTTGGCGAGAGGGATCGTATGGGTCTCGTTACGTTCGGTTCAGGAGGAGGTGGTGTGCCCATCGTAGGAATGACTACGAAGGCATGGCATGGATGGAACAATATTCTAAGTTCGATTAAACCCGTGGGACAGAAGAGCCACCGTGCGGACGTTGTAGAAGGCGCAAATGTCGCTATGGACTTACTCATGCAACGAAAGTACAACAATCCGATCGCGACGATCATGCTCATCAGTGACGCTTCAACATCTGATGCCGACAGCGTTGACTTTGTCGTCTCACGAGCGGAAGCTGCCAAGTAAGACGGACCCCATTACTAAAATTAAGCAAAGCAATGCTAACAATATTTAGGATTACAATTCATTCATTTGGTCTCGGTATGACTCACAAGCCGGATACTATGATCGAGCTATCTACGCGAACGAAGGCTTCGTATACTTATGTGAAGGACTGGATGATGCTACGCGAGTGTCTGGCCGGCTGCCTAGGATCGCTACAGTCTTTATCTCACCAGAACGTCAAACTGAAGCTGAAACTTCCCGAAGGCTCGCCAGCCAGGTTCCACAAGATCAGCGGAGCGTTACAGATCACTAAGCGTGCTACGGGTCGTGACGCGGAGGCTTCACTGGGTGATCTTAGATTCGGAGACAAGAGGGACATCCTGGTTCACTTAGTCATTCTTCCCGATAACACATCTCAGGAGCAATTACCTCAAGATCCGTGGGAGACAATTGTTTCTGGTTTAGAAGCTCTGGGTGGACCCGTAGAACACGATGACCAGAGAACGATCTCGGTAGAAGAATTGCCGCTCATCCAGGCGGATCTAGTTTGGGGTGATATTTTGAGAGATGGTACAATGATGCATCTCCCAAGACCGTCGTTACTTGCTATTACAATGTTACCGGCACCAGGTAATTCTAAGAAGACGTCCTGGCAAAACAACCCACCGATTCCGCCTCATCCACATATTGTCCAGCGGCGGATGGAACTTCTCACATCTGATATGCTCACTAGAGCATTAACATTGGTTTCGCGGGGCCAACACGATCGCGCACAGACGCTTCTTAACGAAACTCGTTCAATTTTGAAAGGATTAGGTAAAGGCGGGCTTCCGCCTGTCCCCGTACCGTCGGTAGCTAACAGCAAATCAAACCCGTCTACTCCTCAACCCGGATCAGATGCTTCTCCAATCTCGGCTACACCAGATCGCAAGCATACCCCATCACCTACCGCTTCGGCTCATTCAGGTGCCAACGGTTTCCCAGCATCGATTCACCGGAGTCGGTCGACCGACGGGTTAACGCTAGGCAACGCAAACGGCATTGACGTCAGCACGGTCGCTGCACTTGATTCCGAACTTGAGGCTAGCTTAGAATGGATTAATCATCCTGCCGTGTTTGGCCGTGACAGTCGCAAAGCCGTCCTACAAGCCATCGGAGTTATTAGTAGCCAGCGCGCATTTACGTTCCGAACACCAATCGAGAGTCTGTGGGCTGGTCGTGTCAACGGTATTAAGAAGCTGACAGACAAGAGCCGCGAGTGGAGGGAAGAAGCCGGCGGCGAAGGAATTATCGAAGAGCCATGATAGCATTTTACATTTTCACATCTATCTTCATCTGATATATATCCTCGGAGCTTTGACGCCCATATAGACGAACGACCTCTACGGGACCATGTTTTGAACGAATATTTTTATTATTATTTATTCTCGAGCCTGCCATTGGCTTAGGTTATGCTTCGCTCCTCGCTTTTCCTTTTGTCGCTGTTCTACCGCCTCGGCTTTTGGCTTATTTTGCAGCCAAGCTTCTGATGATCTAAGATACCATTTCGGAGTTTTCTTATTACGCAACCCACGCGAGCACCTGTCTATCTACCAGCACTATGTTATGTACTCCTACACCATATCGTTTGGATTCGTTACATATCGGGAGGAAAGTCCCTAGATGGAGGGAATATTTTGTTGTTTTACGGTGGCTATCGATATTGGAAATGCGTCGGTGTCAAAAGGGAAAGGCGGAAGGGGGGCAAAGGGTTGGTTGTCGCTCGATACTCACTGTCGATGAGGACCATCGGCGACGTTGTTTTTAGTATTGCTTGAACAGCAGGGGAGATTGGTGTTTTTTTAAAGCAAAGCGCTGTACATTAACGATTTTTACGGTCTGGTATAAAATGCTAGCCGGGGAGGATTCCGGATGCGAAATCAAGTTCTGATTGTTTTGCTCTTATGAAATATTTGGTTCTGGAAACATTTGCAGTGACTTATTAAGTGCTTGATTGGTGATGAAAAGTGTGTTGTAGTTAAATTGACCTTGTCTGCTGGTTATATGGAGTGTAATACTTGTATAGTAAGAGGTACCTAATCTATAACTAGTTAGAGAGATGCGACGAGATATGAAGGATACTTATATTAGGAGGAAAGCATAGACTTGACAAGTGCGTAGCTTGTGGTATAATAACTCGGTTAGTTATATACTAAGAACTAACGTACAATGAATTGGTAAAAATCAAATTAAATGACATTTCGCCCTAAGTCAGAACCATATCTTATATTTCATCCAGGTTATATAACCAACCGTGGTCCTTCTAGCGCCCCAACTAAGCTACTGATTTAAGAACTATACATAGATCTGAATAGGGGAGACTAGTATAAGCATTCATTAAGATGAGAGGCTTAACTTCCAGGAACCAGCAACTCAAGAGGTTCTGGCCGAACTACTCAAGATATAACACCATCGCATAGTTCGTATAAATCGTGGGAATTTGAACTTGTTCAGTTAGTTAATAGTTAACACAAGTAGGATATAGATAACAGGTAGCTTCATCGGAGCCAACCACATCCTCTTCTCTCCCCTTTTCTCACAGCCCCCTACCGCTTAACAAAAAACCCCTTCCCATTCCCCGTCCCCTTCGTCGGCACCACACCAACCCGTTTCCTCTTCAACAAGCTCTCCTTCGACACCCGAGCATCCCTGCGCGCCCGCGGCGCGAGCCGCGCATCGCCCTGCTCGGCTAAAACCCTGTACTTAGTCGACCCGGCGACGCGGTCGCGCGGTCTCTTGGGCTGGTCGTCGTCGAACGTGATTTTTGTAGGCTGTGGGCCGGACAGTTTCTTGCGCTTCTTTAGGATTTGGCCATCATTGTCTGCTTCGTCTTCGTCTTCACCCTCGCTCGAATCCGTGAGGAACTCGGCGGGTAGGTGTGTAGGGACGACGTGTTTCTGCGCGCGCCGCCGGCCGGTTGTTACGGCCGTTTCGACCTCGGGTATGCCGTCGGAGTCTGAGTCGTTGTTGGAGGCGGTGCCTTTGCGTAGGCGTTTGGATTGGTGGACTTGGACTTCTGCGCGGGATCGTTTGCGGTGCTCGGCTTGTTGTTTGAAGAGGTTGTCTCTTTCTTGGCGCTTTCGTTTTAGATTGGCGGTTTGTCTGGAGATTTTAGTTAGAATATGAGTTCTGAAGCGGTGAGAATATAGAAGCGCTTACTTCTCGGCGGCATCTAAAGCTGCCTGAGTTGATTTTTGTACCTCCTTGGCAGCGGCCTGTGTCGACACGGCTTCAGGCGCATCGTCGTCATCACTCTCTTCCTCTTCGTCTTTAGTGTTATCTACCTCTACCTTCTTGCTTACTTCTGCCGCCGCCGCAACGAAGTTCTCTACATCGTCATCATCGTCAAAGACAAGATGTTTCCCCTTGGTCTTAGGGGCAGGTGTTTGATCAAGCTCTTGCGATTGCGACTGTGAAGAAGCTAATCTTTGGCTTGCCTCCTCTTCTAACTGCTTCGAGACGCTCGAGAGTAATGCGGAGTCTGATCCATATGATTTCTCTTCTTTATCTTGGGAATCTGGTACTGCGTCTGTTCGGGAATTCTTAGGTTTTGGGCTCGTAGGTATTTCTACTTCAAGGTGTGTTTTTCGACCGGTACCCGTACTTTCGTCTTCTCGCGTGCGCACAGATAACTTCTGTTGTTTGGAATCTCTTATTTCTTGTACTGGAGAAGCAGCGCCTTCATTTTCGGTGTTGTTATTGTTCCCCGTTGATTTCCACCGCTTCGCGCGCGGTGATTCTTTGGGTAAGATTATTTCGCTCTCAATTCCATTTTCAGCATCCTTCGCGCGTCTTCGAGTAACTGGAGGCATGTTTGATAGCAAGTAATAGTATATCAATTAATAGAGAGTAAACCATTAGGGTTAATTTGTATGTTGATAGTGTTTGTTCACGTCTTAAAAGTTGCGCGGGTCGCACTTTTTTCTGTATGTTTGTTGATCGATAAGATAAATAAATCTCCGATAGGCTGATAGGCTGATAGGCTTATAGGAATGATGTGGGGTCCGGTGGTTAAAATAGACTTCGGTAAATCATCGGTCTTCCGGATCTCTTCCGGTTTGTTCATCGTTTACTCACCTTTGAACCCATGATATTATATGATTAAGAAGGGAAATATTGTTTTCATATTAAACTATTATGATATGATCTGTGGTTTTAGGAGTTAATTCATATCTTATAATATTATGTTATTAAGACATGCTTGTTATGCGCTGTTCGATAAATACACTTATCACTTACACTTACAACTTACACTCTCACTCATCTTAAGACTCTAGACACTTGAGAAGGTCAATTATCAGCTAGACTGATGAAGTAATCTCATAATTCCACCACAGCCATGTCTTCTAGACCTCCCCTTCGTCAATTGACGAGGTTATACACCCTATCCAACCAACTCCCCAAACTCCATCATGGCCGTCTCCCTCCCCTGGTCCAGTCAATATCAACCACACCCGCTCCGCGTCTCAAGGCCCGAATCCCTCCACACCGAAACACCTTTATCCAAACCCGCTTTACAGAAGCCGACGTCCCCGGCCTCCCCTTTTGGATCAAGCACACCGTCCCGCCCTTCGTCCCCAACGGCGAAGTATCTCCGACCCAATGTTTCGAAGCATGTAAACGCTACGTACATCTCGCCATCGAGAACAAGCCAAACTGGCAACAGCACAACCTCTCCCTAACCGCCACATCCCCCACCACCACCCACGACGGGACCATCCCCTTCTTCACGCTACACTACGCCGCCATAACGCTCCTCCTCTTCGCCCAGAGCCGCGAACCCCGATTTCTGGCATTACACATCCTGACCACCGGCACAACAGCCAACTACGTCCCCTCAACACTAACCCTAGCGCTCCTCGGCCACAAAACCAACAGCCTAGGAAACCCACAATTCGCGCACGCAAAGGAGTCCCTAGCAAGACTTCTCGCGAGCCCCGACCACCGCAGCAGCAGCGAGTACCGCCCGGACACGCTAACCCTCGCCGCCCTAGTCCAATCCGGCACCAATACGCGCGCCGGCGCCGACCGCGCAATCCAGCTCCTCGAGGATGCTTGCAAGGCGTACTCCGCGGCCGGCGGAACCTGGCATTGGCGCGCGCGCGGCGTGTTAGCGCTAAGCCGGCTCTTGCTCGAGCGGAAGCAGACTGCGCGCGCACGCGCCGTACTCTCCGCGGCGGTCGACGAGCTCGACGACCCGGAGATATGTTTCCGGTACGCGATGCTGCTCCCGCGGTCGGACGCGGAGCGCCGCGTTCTGATCCAACGGGCGGCGGTGAGCGGGGTCGATGAGGCGGCGCGCGAGATGGCGAGGGAGACACGTGAGGGTCTGGAGGAGGAGGAGGAGAAGGGGCTGAGTGCTTGGGAGAGGAAGGCTAGGGGTGTGATGGCGGATGAGTGGGCTGGGATTGCGGGGGATAAGGCGATTCTTTGAAATATGCCTTATATAGGTACTTAACTCCCCTACGATGTTTGATATACATATATGCCTGCCTACCTATAAGGTACCTGCATACTCAAGTGTAGGGTGTAGATGCTTAAGATGAAATAGGGATTGTGGAATGTAGGAAAGGGGCGCGGCTTATACTATACCTATACCTACGCCGAGAATACTACCCCTATATATAAAATAGGGGAGGAGGGAGAAAGATAAATCCCAATTGTAAAATAAACAAAATCTAGTACTCCATCATTACGTGTGCATTGCCTTTATGATAGGCACCTAAGATTGCTTAGCAATTATAAAAACATCTATACCTGAGTGCTAAAGTCTCGTTTATATAACAACTCTATATCCAGTCAAGATGAGTCCCAAAATCACACCGAGTCAATACCTATTAGGTTCTTGAATAAATCAATTTCGCTCGCCTCCAAAAGCAAGTCTTCGCATCTGGAATCGGCTCAATCACCCGACACTTCCAGGTATCTAACTACAATCGACCCCTTATATATATATATTGAATGCCTATCGTCGCCCGTCTCCACGTATACCATATACACATGCGATCTGACCGGTGAAAGGCCCACTAGTAGTACGCCGCCCGGAGCCTGGTGAAGTAGAAAAATACCCTTTCCTGCGGAGTCAGATAAGCAATCGTTGTGAGCGCCCATCCTCTTCCGTTTCCCGTTCTGTATAAAAAAAAGACTACCGAAGCAAAAATTTCGATCCGGTGTTCTCGAATTCATCTTTCAATACCAAGCATTAACCAGCCTCCCAAATTGCGCCATTCACTCCCTTCCCTACCTACTCGGTCATTCGCGACCCACCCCCAAAATGGCGCAACAAATGATGCTAACGTATTAATGCCACCATGCTTCAACGCCTGGACGATGCATATGTCAAAGTACTGTTTCGGCACTGAACTCTGAAAAACTGGAGATAGCTGGAAAGCTACGGATAAGGAGATGTATCATGTGAATGATATGAGGTAGAGAGCACGTCTATAACTCTTTCGATGCTATAATGCCGTTCTAATCGTCGTGGAAAAATGTTGTGTTCCCAACAAGAGGAGCAGTGGATGGACCAGCATCGATCATCTCCACATCGCTCCTACCAGAACCATCATCCGAAGGTAGACCTAAGTTGGAGCGACGGAAATCGCCCGTCAAAGGTCGGGTGGGTGAAGGCTCGACGAGCTTTTGAGGCAAAGAAAGCGGTCTTTCGCAGAATGCGTCTTCCGGAGGCGAGAATGACCAAACCTATTCTTTATGTGAGAAACGCTCCTGATAACTTAACTTGGATAAACTTACCTCCATCATAACCCTACTTCCCCTGTTTGCAACTGCGACGCACTTTTCGTCCTCAAATACTACCCTCCAGACAGACTCAGCCGTGATAAGTTCCCGTACGAGGTGGCCCGTTTTCACGTCCCAGACTTTGACCCTGCCGTCGCTACCACCGCTTACGACACGCGTATCGTCAAATTGAAGACTGGTGACACTGTTGTCATGTGCTGCCAGTCGGTGAATAGGGCACATCCTCTCAAGAGACCAAACCCTAACGGAACCATCTGAGCCTCCTGTAACCAGTGTATTGCCCCGTAGCTGTAACTGGCCAACGAGAGAAGTATGGCCTTGGAGAACGGCGATGGCATCCCTTTCATCTGAGTTAGTATAAACACTTAAATTCATGGAATACGTGGGAAACATACCCTGTGTGAGCGTCCCAGACGCGCACGCTAGTATCGAGGCTTCCGGTAACAACTCTATGACCATCAAACGCGATGGCATATATCTGACTAAAGTGTCCAGAAAGTGTATGTAGACACCTGCCTTCAGATATGCTCCATATCTTGGCCGTCGCGTCGTAGCTACCCGAGACGACTATGTCGCCTTTTATTTCCAGACATCTTACACTTGCTTGGTGCCCAACCAGGACGTTCTTACAAACTCCTTGCCTAATATCCCAAACTCTCAAGGTAGTATCGCGCGAGCCGGAAATGGCCGTGTTCGCATCCGACATCTTAAGGCAACGGACCGTGGAAGTGTGACCGCGTAAAGTATACAGACATCTCCTATCGACATAATTAGTTAAACTCGTGCAGGTTTCGAGCAATAGCCATACCCAGATGTCATATCCCAGACCCGTACGTCGCGATCGCATCCACCACTGACCAGGATATCTTCCCACGGTACCATAGCCCAAACGCCCATAATATGACCCTGAAGGGTACGAAGAGCATTGCCTTCTCGATCGAAGATGTGTATCCTCGCATTATCAAGAGCAACCACGATATATTGCGGGGTTAAATGGAGACTGGTCACAACTCTATTATCTTGGGTAATAGTCCGCGTAGTATTACGCCCGCTAGTTCTCCAGGCAGACTCAACAAGATATCTCTGTTTGAAGTGTGACTTGTACGACCTAAGCTTAGGGCGCCCGGTAGCCGAGGAGCTCTCTGAAGAGCTGTCAAAGCTACGAGTCGAAGAATGAAACATCGAGGGGCCAGGAATAGCACCGGGAAAGCTGTGAGTGTACTCGGGATCGGACAGGGGTAATATCCCAGGCCTAGTCGCTGCAGATGGCGGGACTCCATATGAGACTTCAGAGAGGCGACGGCCGTAATCATGCTTAACACAGAGATTCTTCCATGTTACATCGTCGCTTAAAAGATCTCTCCACCTCCTGGATACCTGGGATGCTCGCGCGAGTACTTGCGGATCATCTATGAACGATAATATCCTCAAGCACAACTCATCGGGTAGGCTAGTAAAAGGGTCCTTCTTCAGTAGAGGGCTCACGAATTGGTGTACAAAACTGAGCTGCTGTGTCGTGCACATATTTAGTAAGTCGGCAAGAACCCGCGTTCTTTGTGGCCCCGAACAGGCCTTGAAGTGATGGCGCATTTGAGAGAGAAAAAAGTCTTCGTCATCGGCGGCATTACTCCAGTCAGGTTGTGTGTCCGTAGGTCCCGGCGAGGCTGCAGGCGTAGGAGGTGGCGGCGGAGAGCCCGTGACTTGCTGGTCGAAATCCGGAGCCGGCGTGCTCATACTGGGCGTAGGCGGGCCCCTAGGCCGGGGTTGTTGGATCATCTTATCCATCCTCTGATTTATGATGACGGGACCGGTACTCGTCGTGTCCAAAGTCAACTCTTCAGCCCGGTTCGAGACGCTGGCTCTCCTTTCTGAGAGACTACCGTAACCTGCCATATATATGCTAATTTATATATCAAGTTTGTATATTCGCTATGCTACGACGATCCCTCGACCGTCCCGACCACGATCGACGAGTGAATTGCCGGGGCCCTTTGAGGCAAAATGTATTTGCCTGTATGGTATTAGTTAATAGGATGAACAGATATGCTGAGTATATTTCGTAGTTAGAATGCGACGGTAAGTAAGCGCCGTGTAGAGGCTCGTATATAGATTGTCCGCGTGCAGGAAGTGCTAATGTTGGAGTAGGGGCACACAAGGATGGTTCTGCATACGTTCGGGGTCAATGAGACAAGCCGCGTCCCAAGACACACAATTGGTAGGTCAAACGACCTACGGTAGTATCTAAACCAGGCCTACAAGGGTAAAGACAAACTGACACTGTCCAAATCGGCGAAGGAGGCTACGATGGGGAAGGACGGTATAGCGACGAGAAAAGGAAGCGCGAAGAGGGTTTAGTAACGCATTGGCAGCATATATGTCGTCTTTGAAAGGCTGTCGGCGGAAGGCAAAAAAACGGAGATTTTTCGATGAGCGGAGGAGAGAGACAAGTAACCTAGTCTACAAAGTACATAGACAGAAGGGGGTAGGTGGATATCGAATTCTCAAGCCCCTTACAAGCGTATCGTTGGTATCGTTCAAGATTGTAAGAGGAATGATGATGGTGTAATAAAAGGTAGTGAGTGTAGTCAGTTGAGAATGGTAAGATGTGATTCTCCAAAGTGGAATGGGGGTTAGGGAAGCGGATCCTAAGCAGAGATGAGCAGGAACGTGCCTCCCCATGGTAAGTCCATAAAGTTTCTCCCGCCGGGGGAGGTGCTACACTAGCGTTACAGTATTTATACTGTATTAAAGGCTGCGGATATGTACTCTGCATAGTACCTGACCTTTAAGGGCCATTATGCATATATGCTTAATATATAAACTCGGGTTCGCATATAAGATAGGCGAGACTGCCGACGGTGTTTTCTTCTTTGTCTCTTGATAATATAAAGCTATAAGCGACGTAATCTCTATAGTTATTATAATCAAGTCCTTATTGGTTGGTTATAGCGAGTATACTCTTTAGAATAGTTGTACAGACACGATTTAAAGTTCAAACGTTTGGGCACTTGTATATGTATGTATAAATATAATTATATGTATGTGTAATGTACATATCGCGGTACATGTCGCGGGTAGTACAGAATTTACACAATACATATAGTACAATTAGTAAGAATGAGGAGTCCGTCTTTTGCACAGTGCTCTCACGTATGTAAGTTCTTATTTAGCAACACCGGGAATCTAAAACGTTTCGTCTCGCTAGGGTCTATCGATCTCCTTAGTCCTAAATTTACATTAGTCGGTGCCCTCGACTTAGAATCTGCATGTATTTCTGTAAAAGGTAGTGAGGGACATCAATTCGTCACAATCTCAAATTACTGTATTCCTGGTTCATCAAAGTTCCATAGCGAACAATTGCTACAATTGCTACCCTCCAGCTATGCACATCCTATAATATGTAGACAATCGCATTCATACATATGGAAATGCCTTTTGAGGTTTACGGGCGGTTACAACGACCGGGCTAATGCAAATCCCTGTCTTAATGATCGTAACGCATGTCTTGTACCCCGAATATAGTGCACCATATTCGTCTCGGCCATAAAATCTGTAAATATACTTTGCGCCATACCCGAACTCTTATTCGCCGCCGTCCTTGTCTACTTTTGGGAAGGCTGTTTCCGCAGTTCCCACTTCGGTGCCGCGGCGCTTCTGCGCTTGGGAAAATCCATGGATGTATGTAGATGTAGTTGATGTGAGTACCTAACATAGTACCACCAGCTCGTAGCTGCATATGTACGCTTCGTACCATTCAATGTTACAACATTGCGGGCAGGATGCGGGCTATTGTTCACTCACTTATACGTTTTCGCCTACCCGTGCTGTTATCTAGAGCTTCTACTTGGAGAGCCAGGACGAGTCAAAATGTGTTCCATGTGTTCGACCGAATGCGCACGGCATTACTATCTTCATCAACTTACCTAGCTTATCAGAGTTTGCCAACGCATTGCCGTCTATGCCGTCTATACCGTGGCGACCTAGTAGCTAGTGTTTTTATAGGCGGGATGTTGATATACTATATGAAAAGACTACTACTCGCTCTGTCTAGTTAGCGGCGAAGATGATATAATCCTGTCATGTCTGCAAGATGACATCGGCGTTAAGCTATGAGTGGATGATTATATTGTACAAAGGTTTCTGGATACTAAGTTGGGGTAACGAAGCAAGCGCTGAGTCAGAAGCATGGTAATAAGTACAAGTGCGACGACGTAAACGAGAAGCTTTTTTTTCACTGGATGACAAACGAAGCGATTTTTATTTAGTACGCTCGCCTAACAGAGATTCGTTTCTCCTACCTAAACTCGTATAGCACTATACTATCGCCGTATTAGTGATGTTGGCTTCTGCCAAGACTTAAGCCAAATCATGGCTAATATATCTTTATATTTGTTAGTATTTTTCCAATAACTGAATGGTATTTGTTTGGTTAAACTATTTTATTTTTATTTTTTACGAGAAACCGTATTGAAGTAAGCAATTCTAATGAGACATGTTACATCTGCAAGGCGAAAATGATACGATATAACATATGTAAGGGATGGGTTGAGCAGAGTAATACTAACGAAGGTTAGTATTTGACGCATTTACTGCAAGTATTACTATTGATACGCCACGTAATAAGATATATTATTGAAACCAGTTATTTCGGTATAGCTTTAGGGCTAGAAGATAGGTAGCCTTCACAATGAAAATCTGTGAGTAGTATATGAGTATCTTACCTACCTACTACCTATGCATTACCTAAGTGCCCAAGGTAGCTTAGGGTTGAGAACTTAATATTATTTATATAACATTTATGACGCTTCGCCGAATTTCTCCATGAAAATAAAATACAATAGCACATTGAAGCCTTGAGGATTTAGTAACCATGCCGTAGTTATGCAAGTAATAAATTATTATATTATACAACCCCATCACCCAGTCCTATAACCCGTCGCTTATGACAAATAATGAGAAAAATCTGCTTTTGTATGAAACCGAGGATAACGACAAATTGGTCTATTTACAGTCCATGGGTATATTTTGTACAACCAACTCGTCGGACTCTGTAACTCTTAAGACCTCATCGAAATCAAACACCATTTTTAAACTTGTAATACACGTTCCCAATCCACATACGTAGGTAAGACAGGGGTGATCTACGTCGTTGGTTTTAATTTGAACATGCCGGTCATTCATTTTTCGAGATCCTAACTCCCTCTATAGCTTGGTAGAAAGGCATAATTTAAAAGAAATGGCAACCCGTTTAGCCACTTTAATGGTGGTGGCCGAACTGTGTGAGAAGAGGTAAGAACATGCCAATTACCGTTGCAAGCGTTTCCCGCATCTGCGGGTGGGTATGCTTTCGTTGGCCGCCATCCGCATAACCGTTGGCGATCGAGCCATCGTGGCCGGAAGGTGAATCGCCTTCTTGCATGGCATGCATCGCGACGTAGCTAGAAACATTAGTTAGACGTCGAAGACAATACAATCGTATCTGGACTCACAGGAAGGTTCCCGCCGAGAATAACAACAGCATTCCCGTCCACCATTGGTTTAATCTACCTTCACCACCTCCACCCAGGAAACTAACAAGGATGAAGGTTGCCCAAGCTCCAAACGGAGAGGCTAAGCTGAACACAATTAGGTGACCTCGAGCCGCACGTTTGGAGAGACCCTGTTTCAAAAGGATCGAAGTGAGACCAAACGCCGCAGGCGCCTTATGCACCATAATGGCAATGAATACAATAAATCCTAGCTTCGTATCTGGCGAAGTAGCCGAGGCCCCCATTGCGATGCCATCAGCCGCGGCGTGTATCACTAGACCTGTCGTGGTTGCTAGGCTTCTCGACTGCTTTGGCGTGGGTGTCAGAGAACCTAAGAAGCCTTCGGATTCTTCCTCGTCGCGGGAGAGAGATGATCCACCCAAATTGCTCAAGCTGATATGCCTCGGTGGCGGGGGTGGCTGGAAGTTTTCTGACGCATGGCGAGGAAGACGATCGATTAGGAACATAACAACGAACCCCAGTATTAGAGACAGTCCAATATAGAAAGTGGGTGCTCCAGATTCTGTGTGTTGGCTCCCTGTGCTAGGTTTGGCCTGACCACCTGGCACTGCTTCTGGTTCCTCCGCTGGCGTCCTGGCGTTGAAATCGAAGTTGGCCGGACTACCTTTCCTTGCTATATCCAACGCATTCCGATCGCCAAATTCTTTTGGAGAAATTTTAGTCAAGTCTATACTGCCTGCTGAGATGGGATCTGATCCCTCTTCCCACCTAACTGCAGCAATGTCTCTCGCATTATATAAGTTCCTCCTGTTTTGCGAATGCGAGGGTATCGACGCCTCAGTAATTGCTTCGACTCCTTCGGGTATGATCACTATCAGCGATGTGCCGACTAGTATGCCAATGCCGATACTTGAAATCAGTCGGAGTTGTGACTGGGTTAGGGACATAGATAGTGGTAGTGCGCCGGCGAGAAAGGAACTGCTTATCGTCAATTTTCGAGCTTGGGGGTTGTTTCGAACAGGAGACAACAACTTACGCCAATGCCATAACCACCTATGATTTGAAATAAAGTTAGTAATTGAACCATAATTGGCAGCTGGTAGCTGGGATGGGTATTTTGAACATACTGTTAGGGCAAGTAGAATAAAAACTCCAGTTCCCGCCATGGTTACTACGTTCACTTAGAGGAAGCACCTAAGGGATAATTGCTTGTTACCGATTCATTGGTGTAAATCTTGATCGGTGCTAAGTCCACGCACGTATGGTCAGGGGCAATGCCTCAAGACGAGGAAGGGAGGCTATCTATATAGATAACCTGACCCTTAACGTTGAAGAATGCTGCGTATGGCAATTGATAAGATGCTTGAAGCTAAGATGAAGAGCGAGATTGAAGTTGGATATCTTTTTTTTTGCGACGGTAGCCTCAAAAAGTGTCAGAGCCGTTACAGTTTAAGCGTCCACTAAAATCTAATTATCCCTGTTGCAACTTGCTTTTTAGGCGGGACCCTCGCACGTCACTGCCGATTTTCCATCTTGAGGTACCTTATGAAGTATTACGCTAAGTCTAAGAATGGATTAGACCATACGCTAATGTCTGGGTAGCTTGGCATTCTTGGCATACTAGACAAGGCTCTTTGCTTGGTTCTTCCAGTTAAAAAAATGGAAAAAGCCTCCGAAACTGCGAAAGATCTGTCTTGCTACCGTAACCTTGGCCCGTGCGCATTGCGCTCCACTAAGATGAGCGCGCCGTTTCTATCAATCGGTTTAACGCGACGCTCAAGTTCCTAGAAGCGCGTTAAGTGTCGACATTTAACTAGGCACTTTTCAGTTTTCATACACCTCCCTTTTTTATACATATCAAGGCAGTCGATTCAGTTGGACCTTGCGCGGGTCTTCATTGGCGTCATATAACTTCATCCACTGCTTATTACTAATTGGTCTTGCGCCGTAAGCTTATTAGATAGGACAAGATGGAGGACGAGTGTAGGCAACTTGATCATTATCGCGGAAAGGATCTAAGCTGATTTCACATTTAGGGACGATCGATGCCAATGAGGCGCTCACCATGTCGCTCGTGCGACCTACCTCTTCAGGAATCGAAAAGATCGCTTCTTTCAAACCGAGACACAGTTACGCCGTCTTTGGCGAGGAGGAGCGCATATTTGGACACAAGGGCTTAAAGATCGATTTGCAATTTGATGCGAGGGACCTACGACCGAATCTCACAGTATCCTCAGCGAAAAAGTTCATTAAGGTTGGCGACGTCGAGGCTGCTGATGTTAAGCTTACTATGAAGGGATATTTGCCTGGAGGTATGCTACCTAAATATGTAGTTTCTAATAGTTAACCTATGGATAACTTACTAACAATCTACAGTCGCATACCAATCAAGGAAAGAATACGACCAGGCTGTGAAAAGTCTTCCCGATACATGGACCCCCCCTGGAACCCTTACCAAGACTTTGGAGAAGAATGGCGAAATCTACGAAATCTGGCAGGGGACTTTATCGCAACCCGAGATTCGCCAGCTAGTCAAGCGCATCCAAATTACCGTTCTATTCTATATCGAAGGTGGATCTTATGTAGGTGTAGATGAGGAGGGAAACGATGAGCCGGAATATTCTCTGGCTAGATGGACCGTCTTCTTCGTTTATAAGAAGACACCCAGCCCTAAAGCCGATGGTAATCCCCAGTATACGTTCCAGGGTTATGCAACAACCTACAACTTCTGGATGTTTCAACAACCCACGCCGCCGTCTTCGCCGGGCAATGGGAAAGTAGATGATTCGTGGGAGCTTCTCAAAGATGACTTTCCTTTTGCGGACTTCGCTCATCGCATTAGAATTTCGCAGTTCTTGATCCTTCCCCCTTTCCATGGGAAAGGCATTGGTGCGTTCCTCTACAACACCATGTTTGAAATAGCAACGAATACCGCTGCGACGAAAGAGGTGACGGTAGAGGATCCTAACGAGGATTTTGATCTACTACGAGATTTATGTGATATGAAATATCTGCGCAAGAATGTGCCCGAATTTGCCAACTTAACAGTTAACACCGACGTACCAGTCCCCGCAAAGGGTGGTATATTGCGCAACAACACACAGATAACTCCTTCTGTTCGCGAAACTTCGTCAATTGGTGGAATTATTGACATTGTAAAGCTGGAGGATCTTCGAATTAAGACCAAAATTGCACCCCGCCAATTTTGGCGTCTCGTTGAAATGCATCTCATGTCGAAATTGCCCGATTCTGTCAGACCTCAAGCAGATGACGAAACTAATAAACCGTTCCCGTCAAAAACTGACAAGCATGCCTATACGCTGTGGCGCTTACTTCTCAAGCAACGTCTATATCGACGTAACGTCTCTATCCTGGGCGAATTCGAGATCACGGAGCGCATTATCAAGTTGAATGAAACTGTGGACAATGTCGAATGGGAATATGCTAGAATTCTCGCCCGGCTTGAGTCGACACCGCCTGTTACCGCCAGCGAGCCTGTGGCTACTAATGGTAAAAGGAGACTCACCGGTGGCCCCAGTACAGAGAACCTTCCTAGTAAGAAGGCTCGTGTCGAGGAAGCAGAGGAAGAATAGGAGTAATAAAAGTATAATGTATTGGTAATAAGGAGGTCCGTGGTGCTAATATTGTAAGGAGTTTCGGGGGGTCTTATGATACCTACGTTATGTGTATATGTTAGAGGGATTTTCATATTTTCTCTCTTGGCGATGATTGTTTAACGCCTGATTATATCTAGATCGCACTCTTGATCCATGAGTATGTAGCAATTACTTGTAACGCAAGCAAAGGTGGAAATGGATACAGGAAATAGCAAGCCATTGCATTAACTATCTCGTTCGATGTTTTAGTCTATATTCAAAACGCCTTGAACGCCATCCGTATGCACACTTCGAAACTTTTCCTTGTGCCTATTCATATCTCTAAGTGCCCTTGCCGAGCTGGCTGGCAACAACTGCGGCCTGTTTCACGGCCTTGGCAACAGTGCCCCGTACTCGTCCTTCCTCGAGCACTAAGAGACCCTCGATAGTGCAGCCACCTGGCGTGCTAATCCTATCCCGAAGCAGTGCTGGATGGTCTCCATTAAGGACCAAGGCAGCAGCGCCTTTCATAGACTGGGCAGCCATCCTCTGAGCCTCAGCTCGCGGTACGCCTAGGGAAACTGCTCCGTCAACAGCAGCCTCAAGTACGAGAGAGAAGAATGCTGGTCCGGACCCAGCAAGTGCTGTAGACGCATCCATATTCTTAGCAGGAAGGTAGATGACGTCGCCAATGCGCTTAAAGATCCATGTCACGAGGCTCGAAGTATGAGCTGGTAGGGGCGGCTCGCTATTTGCAACTACAGTCATGCCTTGCCTGACCATGCTAGCCGTGTTGGGTAGCGCCCTCACAATTCGGCAACGTCCATCAACTTCGGGGTCCTTCTCCGGTACAGCACCGTGTAGTATCTTTTCGATCTGGGGAACCGTCACACCTGCACATATGCTGATAAGGAGTTTGCCATGGAGCGCCTTCGATAGGCCGGGCTCATTAAGCAAGTCCTCAACCATATGAGGTTTGCAAGCAAGAATGATAACCTCACTCTTCATGACGGCGGCGACATTCTCCTTCTGTACCACCTTGACCGAAGAGCTGTGTTCCCACAGAGCTTGCTTGACCTTCTTGGCGGACTCGGGCCGGCGCACGCACGCGATGAAGCGGGAAGGGAGTCGGGCAGGGATCTCATCGGCGGGGGTCGATCTTCCAGAGGGCGTCTGCAGGGGACGAGGCCCTGACATCTCCTGCAGGGAAGACAGGATACCGGAGAGAATGGCGATTCCCATGGTTCCTAAGACACGTTAATTCGCCAATTTAAACAGCGGGATGATATTAATTCAAGACATACCGCAGCCAAGAACTGCCAAGGTCAACTCCGGCGCATTATGCTCGTGGTGTGTAAGGGCCAACATGATGTTGAAAAGCCTATTAATCGGGTATCTATTGCGACACAAAGACGATGTTTATTGTTTTTTTTTGAGGTTTCTCAAAAAACAGCAAATAAAACCAAGCGGCGTAGGCGCAAGTAGTTTAAGACCAGTGCGGGCAGAGAACAAATTCCTTCAGGAACCAAAATAAAATAAAATAAAATCACAGATACCGACCAAAGAAATTCATGTTTCACTGCATCATAGGACACTTGTCACATTGCCCTGGAAAAAGTAAGCCCCCTACGAAGAAGAACCGCTTCAACGAGATGATAGTTATTCTCGTTCCCCGGGTGCCTTTACCGAAGTAGCACCGACAAACCTATTCTACCCGTTGCTTTCCACTCCGGGAGTTTTCAGCCCTGGTTCAGCTGTGATTTTAAGGGGTTTAATTGGTTAACGCCTTTGCCTAATTATGTGAATTTACTCTTAATAGGTTAAGGTAACTGATTATCCTAGACTTTTAGTATATAACTATATTAACATATTAATACTCAATTATGAATAAGAACTTAAGTGTAATTTTTACGTGACTGACTTCCAAGTAGGTGATAAACATATCTGTTAGCTTTTGTGGTTTATTCTTGAAGTTCAACCTGCTTTACTACATAATGCATATCTTCGTAAGAATGGCAGGGACGATAAGGATATAGTGGATATTACCCTCTTGCCCCAACTTTTCACTATTGCCCAATTTTGCTTAGCGCCAGGTACAAGCTATAATCCCTTTGGGCTTGGTACTACACTAGCGTAGCTTTGTTTTACTACTGGGGGTAAGAGCCAACGGCAATCCAGGGATCGATAACGAATGGAGCTTCTCTTTCCCATTTCAATGTTGCGGCTCGTCAGCCTTGTCTCTCAATTTCATCTTCTTCCATCAAACAACCTTCCGTAAATTTCCCGAATCTGGGCCATGTCACAATGGCGGCGGATCCTTTCGAAGTTCGGATGCGCTTTAGCGGCCAGCTTCAACACTTGAATGCAAGTACTACCGCTGCCCAGAAAGCTGCCCAGTATGCAATGAAGTACAAAGATATGGAGGAGGATCTGCACTCCTGTATTCTCGAGCAGATTGAGAAGGTGAGTCTCATTTGGCATTTTTATTTACTTCTATATGTCTATCTTATCCCAGTCTGATTATTATCTGCTCCATTTTCATTCCAATAAGCTTTCACTTTAATTTGATCTCATCGAGTCTTGTAATACTACATTTATAAGGCCATCTACTTGTCGGCAGCAGCGTTGAAGCTTTATGAGTGAGCATTTATGTTGAAAAAGCGGCTAACTCTGTAATCTAGACTAGCATGAACACACGTGCAAACATCATGTACTTTCTGGAGCACTTGCTGGAGATGGCATCAAAGGATCGCCAGAACCAGTATGTTCGAATGATGCAGAGAGATATTATTCGAGTTGTAGATGCAGTCTGTCCGGAAGATGGATCCGGTGCCGCCAATGTCAAAGTTGTCCGACGGGTAAGTTTCAGCGTTTGAATGGAGTTGAAAGTCATAATATAGAATGCTCACAACAGTAATACCTAGGTGCTTCAAAGCTTAATGAACAAGTCTATTCTACTCGAACAGACGGTGCTCGAGATTGAAGGCTGTCTTAAAGAGCGCGATACCTCTATTGACCTTGGCTTCTCTTCACCTGCCAATGGCGACGACGCTTCCCGTTCGCGTAATGGTAACGGTGCCGCCAGTTCTCACCGCCTCGACAAGCGCCAGATTGAGCAGCGCATCGAAGAGGATCGTGAGCGACACAAGCGTATGCGCGAGAGCATGTGGGCGGTTCCCGGAACCATAGAGGAGGAGGCAATGAAGCTTCTCGAAGAAACAAGCGATCTCGGAGAAGATGATCACATCCTAGGCCGCGAGGAATGGGAAGAGTTTCAGCGGGAAGCTGAGATGAGCAAATGTCATCATCTCCGACAAAGAGATGCTACCACCAATGGGTCTTCATCGCACTAGGACGCGTCGCCCACCCGACTTAGCAAATCCCAGAGGGCAACAATAAGACGCCGACAATCTCGACAGAAGCGCCGTAACATGGAACTGCTAAACCACGGCCTCCAGGGACTGTCAACTAATGATGCATTGCGTGGCGTTGATAAGAAAGAAAAATCGGCATAAAAATGGCGTTTTTGGTTGCTTTTCAATCTCTAATTTTGAGAGGATCTGGAAGTTGAGTGGTGGTATTTGCCCCATATTCCATTTGAAAGAGTTGAAGCATGTTGCAATGATTTTGTACTGTACATGGTCGGGAAGCATGGCGATCAAAATGGTGTTCCTTATGGCATATCTGGCTGATCGGAGGCGGCCTGCATTTGATGATACCAAATTTCACGTTGATTCCGGATTAATTCAAATTACATAAAAATTTACTTCTTATTCTTATTTGAATTTTTAATTACAGTTAAGTCAAGTGTAATACTATGTTCTAATCGTGCTATAGGATTGTAAGTCGGCGATAATCAGTTTCGGGTTAACTATACTCTTTAAGAGTTGGGGGATATAACTGGGTCACCAACACTGCCTTCGCATCTTGCGCCCTTCGGATTACAAGCGGCTCGCGAAATATTTCCTTAATTGAAACTCGGCATCCGAAAAGCGGTGGATATGATATTGGTATATAAAGTTAGGTTACTGGAGATGGTGGATTTTAGAAGAAATATAGTTGCATTGAAGGGTAACTATTTCATGTTTTATTTAAGCGAGTAGAGACAACTACTAGCCGTAGCTTGTTTGTAAAACAGCTTCCATGAGTTTTCAACTTTGTCAACTGAAGTAACCTAAGCACTCACATTGCCCATACGCGAATCCAAGCTATGCCGAAAGTATTGATATTCGGCACCGGCAGTCTCGGGACTTGCTATGCCTGGGCCTTATCAAATGCGGTCAGACAGGACAATGTCACCGCAATATGCCGGTCTAATTACGAGTTCGCTTCCCGGAACGGCTTCACGATCCACTCGAACCTGTGGGGCAATAACCTCCATTTCCAACCCCGCATCGCGAGGTCCGTTGCCGAAGCCGTGCAGCAGTTGGCTTTGGATGCGCAACAGTTCTTCGACTTCGTGGTTGTCGCTGCCAAGGCCGTGCCTACTGACCCTTCGATAGCGGAATTGATTGGCCCCGCGATCGCGAAGGGTAAGACGGCTATTGTGTTGTTGCAAAATGGTATTGGGATCGAGGACGAGTATGCGCAACTCTACCCGGATAACCCGCTGTTGAGCACCGTCGCATACTTCCCGGCTACCCAAATCTCGCCTGGTGTTGTGCACCACAAGGAAGTCGAGACGCTGCATGTGGGCACATTTCCAGCTACCGCTCCCACGAAACACAAGGAGGTAGCGCTGGAGTTCGTAGAGCTTCTTGGGAAAGGGGGTGCCACGGCTAAGTTACACGACGATATCCAGCGCAAGCGCTGGGGCAAGTTGCTCGTCAATAGTTCTTGGAATCCCATATGCGCGCTTACTCGGTTGAAGGACCGAGAATTCATCGAAGTGAGCTTGAGTTTGGACTTGGGCGCAGAAGATAAATGGGGTGATGGCGTGCGCTTTGTAAAAGACGTCATGTTGGAGATTGCGTCTGTAGCACAGGCCTACGGATACAGCGATGTGAATGAAGAGATGGTGGATTTTCAGATCGGACGTGCTGTTGTACGCGATCTGCCTGGAGTACAGCCGTCTATGCTGGGAGATGCGTTTGATAGCAAGAGTATGGAGGTTGATGCTATCGTGGGCAATGTGGTGAGACTTGCGAGAAAGAAGGGAGTGGCTGTGCCGATGCTGAGAACGATTTATCTCCTGGCTAATGGACTGAGTGAGAGCTTTTCTCGCAAGAAACTGCAGTCTTAGAGGATAGAGGGTAGTGAGGAATATGCTGTTCTCTATGTCTTTATCTCCTTAGGAGGTTTTGAATATCCTTTAGAGAGAATACTGGCCCATCCTAGACAGATTCCTAGGTAGATATTTATAATCTATCATCCATAGACAAAAAATTAAAAAACTTCTAAGATTGGCATAATTTTTTTACCATCCGAAAAGTTCACTTTCCAGGGCTTTTGTATTGTTATACAGGTTTAGGTTACATGTATATACGGCATCGTTCGTGTTGCCTTCCGAGTTTAGATGAATCATTCCATAGTAACGGTAGCTCCTAGCTCCTTCATCGTAGCTACGATCTTCTCGGCCTCCTCTTTCGGTACCGATTCCTTCATCATCTTGGGTGCGCTCTCCACGAACTTCTTGCTGTCGACTAAACTCAACCCTAATAAGCCCTTGACCTCCTTGATAACCTTTGCCTTCGCGGCAGTGTCGAATGCTTGCAGCTTAATGTTGAATAGTGTCTTCTCCTGAGCAGCTGGCGCGGGTTCGTCCGCCTCCTCTGCTGCGGCGGGGGCGGCAGCCGGTGCAGCAGCGAAGCCACCAACTGGTAGATCGGGGATGTTAAGTCGGGACTTATATGGTATGTCAGCCAATAGAACTAAAAAGCCTATATAACGAAGTAGGGCTAACCTTTAGGCTTGTGACAAGGTCGGCGGTTTCGAGAAGGGTCAATTGGCTGATCTGGTCAACGATACCGGCAATCTTGGGGTTCGTAGCCGTTGCGGTAGACTCGTGCCGCCGCTGTATCGACGGAGTGCTCTGAACGAATGAAGCCGATACTCGGAAAGAGTTGCTGGAACGAATTGATCGCGCACAGCTTCGAGCTGCATACCTGCACGGTGCCGACATTTTTGGCGACTTCCTCGTTGACCAAATTGCGAATTGACTGGGGGGGGTGGACTCCTTTGACTTAGCGGAATGGCTTCGTGATGCTCTTCGAAGTTTTTAATGTACGGATTTCGATTTGGCGAAGCTTTGCCGGACCCTGCCAGTTTTTAGCGGGTCCCCCGCTATTAGTGGCGGTGCCAAACAGCTCCGTTCCGGGTTATTCACCGCCTAAATTTCTAAATTTTTGGAAAACGGCAGAAAAAGTTAGGTACGATAGTCTTATCTCAATTGACTTTATTCGCGGGCCTGCAGAGATGAAATCTTAAGAAAACGAATAATCGATTTACATACAACCCGCGCAACACGATTTCGGCATTTTTACAGCAGCCATGCCTACTGTTGATGTAAGCGCACAGAGGGAGCAGCTCTTAACTCATAAAGAGTTGTTAGCCCAATTACCGCCCGATTTATTAGAAATAATTCGCGATGGTCTCACCCCTGCACATTTTCTCGATGCTATAGCTACGGCAGCACTGATTCCTGAATTTACTGGACTTATATTTACCCATTTTGAGAGTGAAATTTCCGAGATATGCGCAAGATGGCTCATAAGACCAAGGGATCAAGGACAAGAAGATCCTATTATCGCATCTTTTGCAAGAATCCTCCCGTTTGCGCCATACTTATCCGTTTTCTTGGAACGGTATATTGGAGAAACTTCATATAGACTCGGTTCTGAACTGAACACATTCGGAATCAACTCACTCAACACCCGACCTACGGAGAACTTTCATATACATGACTTACAGCAGATTTTACTTGCTCTCTGGAGACTCTTGAATTTTGACAAGAAAACTTTCAGTCAATTAGTTCTACCTTCCAAAATACAGGATCTATTTAAGCACGGCCATGCCTCCGTAAGGTATCTCGCTATTAGAGTGTTTTGTTGCCAACTTAATGCTTCCGACTTCAACTTGGAGGCGCTCATCCGCCAGTATATTAAACATGAAGAGTCTCTAATTGGAGATTTCGACGGAGCCCAAGTTGACTACACCTTTCTCTCCTTAGTTGAGCGTCAACGAGCAGAAAAATGGGATAAATCTCGACAGAAGATACATGCCGAACTTGGAAACTATAAAGGAGAGCAGTTCCACCCTCAGGCGCTCGAGGACATAGTTATTCAATATAACACGACGATCCTCCCACGACCAAATGGCCCATCTGGTGCAATGTCCAGGTTGGTACAAACTCCTACCACCTTAACTAACCTGCAAAACCTCGCACAGAATCTCCAGCGATTGGGGCCGATACTTTTGCATGGATTGCCGGGATCTGGGAAGACATCTATAGTGCATGAGCTTGCCCGTGAACTTAAGATGGAGTCGAGCATGGTAACATTGCACCTAAACGAGCAAACAGATGCGAAAATGCTCATTGGCCTATATTCCACAGGCTCTAAACCTGGTTCTTTTTCATGGAGGCCAGGTGTCCTCACAACAGCTGTTCGCGAAGGACGCTGGGTTCTAATCGAGGATTTGGACAGAGCGCCAAATGAGGTTATGAGTACTCTGCTACCCTTAGTGGAGCATGGAAAGTTGCTTATTCCCAGTCGTGGTGAGACGGTAGAGGCTCCGAGCAGTTTCCGACTGTTTGCGACCGTTCGGACGACACGAGGAATGAATGGGCAAGAGAATCTCCCCAGTATACTAGGCCAGCGATTTTGGAATCTGTCCAGTGTAAAGATGCCTCCACCAGTTGAGCTGGAGTATATCATCGTTGGAAGTTACCATCTACTACACAAATATACTCCGATGATTATGTCAGTTTATAGGCGTCTTTGCCATCTATCTAGTCTCCCACATATGAGTAACTCCGGGAGGAGCATAGTAGAGCGTTCAGTCACGCCTAGGGATGTCTTGAAATGGTGCCGCCGCCTTAACGAAACTCTCGTAGCTTCAGGCTGCAAGCTTGGCAACGAACCTATAAGCGAGACAACAAGAGACTGGATGTTCATGGACGCGGTTGATTGTTTCTGCGGTAACCTCTCCAAGCCGGAAGCAAGAGCTGCTCTTGTCAGCTGCATTGCTGAGGAGATGCACCTTTCGCAGCAGCTTACAGAACACTACCTTAAAGTTCATGTACCGCAGATGGAGGAAAGCCCTAGTAGTTTCAAAGTCGGAAGAGTCATGTTGACTAGAAGAAAGCATGCTAATAGAGTGGTCAAGTCAAGAAAACCCTTCGCGAGCACTAGTCACTCTAGAAGGTTACTCGAACAAATATCAATGGCTGTCAAATTGCGCGAACCCGTACTTCTCGTAGGCGAGACCGGTATTGGAAAGACGACTGTTATCCAGCAATTGGCTGAATCCCTTGGCCATAAGCTTGTGGCTGTGAATCTGTCCCAGCAAAGCGAAGTTGGGGACCTCTTAGGTGGCTTTAAGCCGGTGAATGCTAGAAGTCTTGCCATTCCTCTGAAAGAAGAATTTGAGGACCTATTTGCTTCGACAGGAATCTCTGCGTCGAAAAACCAGAAATATTTAGAACAGATCGGCAAGTGCGCTGCGAAAGGCCAATGGACAAAGGTATCGAAGCTGTGGCGGGAAGCACCGACTATGTTTAATAAGATTGTGAGCCAACTTCAGACCCAAGCCGATGCCCCCAACGGTGGTGATTCAGATGGGCAACCTGTTATCAAGAGACGTAAAGTAGAGTCGAGGCTGCAGTCGCTACTCGACCTGAGGCCGCGTTGGGAGGCGTTTTCTCGGAGTCTGGAACAGTTCGATATCCAGATCTCGGGAGGCTCAGGCAGTTTCGCTTTTTCATTCGTGGAGGGTAATATTGTCAAAGCTGTAAGAAATGGAGATTGGGTTTTACTGGATGAAATCAACCTTGCATCGCCCGACACGCTGGAGAGCATAGCTGATCTACTTACTTCCGGTCCCAATGATGAGCCTTCAATCCTGTTATCGGAAACTGGCGATATCGAGCGTGTTAAAGCGCATCCGGAATTCCGTATATTTGGAGCTATGAATCCAGCCACAGATATCGGCAAGCGTGACCTTCCCCCTGGACTGAGATCACGTTTCACGGAATTCTATGTCGGCAGCCCAGACAAGGACCTAAAGGACCTTCTAACAATCATCAAGGCTTACCTGAGCGGGAAGAGCGTCAAAGATGACCAGGCGGCCGATGATATTGCTAGATTATATCTGAACACCAAGACGCGCGCAGAGGAGAAACGTTTGGTTGACGGCGCTAATGAAGTACCTCATTTCAGTTTGCGAACACTAACTCGTGTCTTGAGTTACGTGAATGATGTCGCTCCGTTTTATGGTCTTCGACGAGCTTTATATGAGGGATTCTCTATGGGTTTCCTCACATTATTAGATAGAGCGTCTGAAGAGACGCTCGTGCCATTGATCCACCACCATCTCCTTGATAGATATGGTGGCGCCAGGTCACTACTCTCGCAGCCACCAAGGTACCCTGATGATGGAAAACAATACGTCAAGTTTGTGAATAGGAATAAGGACCGACAGTATTGGCTACTTCGGGGAGAAGAAACTCCTATTGAGCGAACTGACTATATTATCACACCTTACATCGAGCGTAATCTCTTAAATTTAGTGAGAGCTACGTCAACTAGGCGTTTCCCAATTCTTATCCAGGGTCCTACGTCAGCAGGCAAGACTAGTATGATCGAGTATCTTGCAAATTTCAGCGGTAACAAGTTCGTGCGAATCAATAATCACGAGCATACAGACCTTCAGGAGTACCTCGGAACCTACATCTCTGACGTCGAAGGAAAGTTACGGTTCCAAGAAGGGTTGCTGGTACAAGCTCTCCGGCAGGGACACTGGATTGTACTTGATGAACTCAATCTTGCACCTACTGATGTTCTAGAGGCGTTGAATCGTCTTCTTGACGATAATCGCGAACTGCTTATTCCCGAGACACAGGAAGTTGTCCGGCCGCATGAAAATTTTATGTTGTTTGCAACTCAGAACCCGCCTGGCTTATACGGAGGCCGAAAGGTGCTTTCACGGGCTTTTCGGAACAGATTCCTCGAACTCCATTTTGATGACATTCCTGAAGATGAGCTCGAGATCATTCTACAGAAACGCAGCTTATACACTGCACCTTCTGATTGCAAGAGGATTGTCAACGTGTATAAGGAGCTCTCAAGATTGCGACAGACGAGTCGTCTATTTGAGAACAAGGATAGTTTTGCAACATTGAGAGATTTATTTAGATGGGCTCTGAGGGGAGCCGAGACTCGAGAGGAAATCGCAGCTAATGGGTTTATGCTCCTTGCTGAACGTGTCCGAAACGAGGAAGAGAGAATTGCTGTTAAGAAAGTTATTGAGACGGTTTTTAAAGTCAAGATCGACCAAGAACAGCTCTATGATATCCACAGATCGCCATATTTGAAGGTGCAGCCTCCGAATAATGGCCAAGGCGTTGTCTGGACCCACGCTATGCGCCGTCTATATGTACTAGTTGCAAGCGCACTTCGCAATAACGAGCCAGTACTACTTGTCGGAGAAACTGGTTGTGGTAAAACTACCGTCTGCCAACTCCTTGCCGAGTCCCTTGGCAAGGAATTACATATAGTCAATGCGCACCAAAACACAGAAACGGGCGATCTCATTGGATCCCAACGACCAATTAGGAACCGAGGCGCTGTTATAGATGTGTTAACTCAAGACCTCACAACAGTTTTACGGGAACTTGGGCAAATGGTAGAAGGCGGCGTAGAAGTCTTGTTGGAGAAGTATCACGCTCTTGATAAGTCGATTCTGTCGAGGGTACCCGTGGATTTACAGCGAAGAATCTCGGATAACGAAGTCAAGAGCAAAGCTCTCTTCGAATGGGCAGATGGAAGTCTGGTCCATGCGATGCGAGATGGCCAGTTTTTCCTTCTTGACGAAATATCGTTGGCGGATGATTCCGTCCTGGAGCGACTAAACTCTGTCCTCGAGCCTCAGCGTACCTTGCTCCTTGCCGAAAAGGGGATCGAT